GCAGAGACGTCGAGATCGCTCCAGGCCGAAAAAATTGCTGCTTTAAGTGCAGAAACGTCTTGAAACTGACGATGATTCTTGTAGACAGCTCGAGCAAGTATTCCCCATAAATTTTCTATAGGATTGAGGTCAAGAGACTGAGCGGGCCAGTCCAAAGTTGCAATGTTGTTGTTTTTCAGCCAGTCTCAGGTATCTCCGGCTCGATGAACTGACGCGTTGTCGTGTTGAAACACATGGGGAATGCCTGGATGTAGGTGCAAAAACGGCAGCAAGCAATCGTCCAAGACGTCTATATAGTCAAAACGATTCATACGATTCGAAACCATCTTTAGAGTGACCGTCCCATCAGCACAAAATGCGGCCCAAACCATCACAGAACCTAGACGGAAAACCTAGACGCAAAAAATAATAAAACATAAGCGGCTTTCCAATCATAGACCAATTTTGATTCATATGAGTCTTGGCGAAGCCCAAAACGGGCTTTCTTATGCAAAAGCTTCACGATCGGTTGGATGTTCAATAATTGTTGATCGATATGTGCGTTTTTCCTTGATGGCTCGCCAAATTTTCGACTTCGAAGAGTCGATTTTCCGTTCCGTTTTCACTTCATTGATTGTTTTTCCTTGGATGTTGTTCACAATATGGCGTCTAGCTCGCGGTGTAAGCTTTGGTTTTGGTCCTAGCTTCTTCTTTGGTGTAGAAACGAACTCGGACTTTATATAATTTCGCACGGCAGAGTCGGATCGGCCCAAATTTTTTGCGATTTTCCTTATTGAGTCGCCAATACTCAAACGGGCCTCAATCTGGCCTTTCTAATAATCCGTGAGCAGCTTTCCGTGTGCCATTTACCTGAAAATTAACAAAAATTATCAATTTAATAAAAAAATATGCGCAACAAAACGAAAAATTTCAAATAACAACAGCAAAGGCGGGTGCCTTTAAGAATTTGAAACGGTTGATTTAGCAAAAAGTTTCTATTTTGAAAATTTTTACTTTTTAAAGTATGCTTCTTTTTCGTGTTATTTAAGTTTTAAGACATGCTCTTTCTAATAGAAAAAGATTAATAGTTGTAGCGGTGGTCAAAATGCAAAATCCGCTATTTTAGAGGGTGCGTTTAAGAATTTGAAACGCACTGTAGTAAGGGACTTTACTTACTTAGTAAAGGACTTTACTTACTTAGTAAAGGACTTTACTTACTTAGTAAAGGACTTTACTTACTTAGTAAAGGACTTTAATTACTAAGTAAGTCCTTACTAAGTAAGTCCTTACTAAGTAAGTCCTTACTAAGTAAGTCCTTACTAAGTAAGTCCTTACTAAGTAAGTCCTTACTAAGTAAGTCCCTTACTAAGTAACACTTACTAAGTAAGTCCTTACTAATCTTTACTAGTCCTTACTCTTTTAATGAAAAAATCTCAAACCATGAAAGCCTAACTATTAGCACAAAGAACACCTCGTCAATCACTTTACACAGTAATTTTTCTTTACACATTCCGCTTTTTTTCAAAGACTGGATTTTATAGAAGGACTTTGTAATGCCATAACCAAATTCACAACACTCTTTTTTTTTTTATAAAGAGGGGGGAGAACACAGAGAGGAAAGGAAGAGACAGCTTTTTTTTTTTTATTTTTTAATTTTTCCTTTTTGTTACTTGAATATCTTGAAACCAGAGAAATAGAAGGCGATAATCAACAACCTCAAAGCCAGTACAGTACAATCTGCAAAGTTAACCCGTCATACAACTGGACAAATCTTCAACAGATTAAAATAACTGACTACTTTTATTGTCCAATACTAAAGTACACTGTACACAGCTATTCCAACAAAGACTAACAAAATCTCATTCTAACAGCCACTTTCCCCTGAATAAAGTCAACAATTTCCTTCTCCTTTCTTGTCGAAATCTTTTACCCATGTAAGAGCCGATTCTTATCGATTCCCCATCTCCTTTTGACTAAAATTTTATCACTTTGCCCTCACTTTTCCCCTTTTCCCTCAAATATTTCCCCAATTTTTGTCTAATATTTAGAAGAAATTTTCTGGCCAAAAATACGTCAACAAAGTTTCGCTTCTTTATTGAGCAATTGATTTCTTTAATTAGTGACATCAGAATTTTCATTGCTTTCAACAATAAGACGGTCATCTGTTCAAGAATAATTATTCTGGTGTCATGGTCAGATCAAGTAAGACTTTTGGTTTGATACTTTTTTGTTGTAACTCGTAAACAGGAGTTTTAAGGAGCCAATAAGGTTCGAGCTAAAGTCAGTACCAGGGTTGTTCTCAAAATTTGGCAGGATAAGTCAGGGCAAATCTCTGCCCGAGGCCAGGTCAAGGGTCAGACCTGGATCAGGCTTTTGAGCTGGTCTAGGCCAGAAAGTATTTGAACCTGACATCCTGACCGGGTACTTTCAGGCTGACCGCTCTGTGAATTGAATAAACAGATTGTGAAATTTTGAATTAACGGAATTAATTCTGTGAGATAATGTTTTCAGTAAACCTCTCTCCATCAACCGTTTACTCGTTTGTCTCCGAAAATGCATCCGCAAATGATTACCTGATGCCCGATCGGAGTTTACCGCAAAGCGCACCGTTAGGTGGAGCGAAATACTCATTCGAACAAGTGAGCTAGAAATTTTGAATGGTCCCTAAATCTAATGTTTTACCGAGTGCTTAGTTTGAAGATTGTAAGAAAAAGTCTTTATGCTTAAAAACTATAACACCTCATAATACCATATAAACTTATAAATATAAAAGCTTTAAAACTCTAATCATTAGAAAGCATTCAGGATCTCGAAAGCGCAAAAACCCTTATAACGAGCGTCGAAATTTGGGAGCAAAGAAATGTTGGTGCAAAAAATTTCTATTTGATTCCCAATCCGGATCTCCTTGGATACGATGCAACTGTGCTCAGTATTCGAAAGTTATTTCTTCATTCATTGATGCGCTCATCACAAATTCAGTTTTCTGAACGACATCACTCTCGATGGATTGATTGAGATATTGGAATCAGTGCGTAAAGGAAAAGCCACCAATGGAACACCGTTGGCGTCTGTGGCTCCACCAATAGAACACATCTCATCAGCTCATCCAGTGCCTAGAGTAAGTGATGGAAGGAATGAGGTTGACATTGCTGCTTTCTAAAATATGTATTTTGGAAAAAGTTGCCGTAGCTTGAGTTGAGCTTTGGAATTTATTTTGTGAGTAAATGCAAACAAATCTCCTTAACTCTTTATTTTCCCCTACACCAGGGAAGATGTGCTTGAGCTTTTGAGCACAAAGTAGAGCTTTTATTAATGAATTTTTAGGTTACAATAGAAACGTTTATCAATCAACTCGATCGTCCATTTCGCAAGTGGTTGAATGGTGAAATTGATGAGGGGCAATTGAGGGAATTCTATGACGAGGACGTCCCAGAACTGGGTTCTTCATCTGTTCGTTTTACATTAAACTAGTCAGGTTTAGCTATTCTTAAGATATCTGCACTGAGTATACCAATTCGTATGCAAATTTATAAAATTGACCAGCCGAAAAATCCGCCTAACGACGGATTTTTCTGGCTGGGTGTTTTGGAGGTAACGTATAATTTGATCTCTCGAGTGAGAAGACGCCTTCCCCTTCTCTTCTGTGCCTCCTCCGAGACCCCTGTAACAATACTGGGATCTATTTCTTAATCCTTCAAAGCAATATCAACCCTGATACCCCAAAGCACCAGGGCGTGGCCGAGGTGAATAGCGTCCCTTCTACGAAATGACTGCCCTAAGGGGGTGTCGGGTTCGGTTCCCGTCCGTTCCAAACTTTTTTTGCATTAAATATTTTGAAAAATGCAGTTGAGGTATGCAAATTTGAGTTGCATCGCAGCGAAGGTATTGATTGGTACAGGGATCTCGGAGGGGCGGTCTTGTCGTTAGTCGCGCCGGCCTTTGCATATCGTATTTATTCTAATAGAAGCACATTTGCTTCTATTTTTCAATCTTTCAAAATCAGCCGACCAAAAAAGTAGGTAAGGGGGGACTAGATGAATCAAAAATTGGTACATTGGTGGTTGGGGGAGGCTTTTTCAATTTTTCTAGTGTAATCGATAGTGCTAATCACGATAAGAGTGTTTTTAAGGTTGTTCATAGTTTTTTGAGTTTTTAGCGTTTATAGTGTACTTCACTATGATGTCAGCACGGTAAAGGAACTCAAAATGAGACCGTAAAGGAGTCAACCTCTTAACCAAAACTATTTCTCAAAGCTTTTAAGGCCACTTAACTTGAATCAACTTTTGTTTTTACTCACATTTTTACTCACAGCATACTTCAACTGCACATTTAAAGCAAAAAAATTTTGGAACGGACGGGAATCGAACCCGACACCCCCTTAGGACAGTCGTTTTGTAGACGGGACATTAACCACCACGGCCACACCCTTTCTCCCATAGACCGCCTAGGCAAAAAGTTTTAAAGCAAATCCGAACAGGAATTCGTTATTCCCAAAATCCTTACAATGGACATAGAATGAAAATCTGGGAACGAATTTTTCAAAATTATTTGCCTAATTTTTCATTCTCTATCTTTTGTCTTTTGACACCAAAATAGGTTTCTGTGACAAAAAGTGCTCAAGTCGAAACTTTGAGTTTCATCGTTTTCATAGCTTTAAAAATATTAACTAACGCGAGCTTTTAAGAATTTCTTAAAGAGAAATTTGTAAATAAATAATAGGAATTTCTGATAAAAAAACCATAGATCGAGGCTCATTATTCATTTCAAAAAGCAACCTTTAAAAAAGCGGACAAGACTTTCGGGCAAATCTGATACAAATTATTCAATTTTAACTGTTCTTAAGATATCTGTACTAATTGTAAGTAAACAAATTCGTATGTAAATTCAGAAAGTTGATAAGCTTTTTTTAGACACCCCCTCGCTCCTCCCATTGGACACTCTATTCACTGCTTTTACTGCTGTTGTTCACTGGTTTAACTATAGGATTGTTATACGGATGTCGTAATAGTGGTTGTCTTGCGATGTTTCAACCAAAAGAGGTACAAGTTTTGCCTCAAACTTCAAGCCATCTGGCCCTTAGAATTCAATCATATCCATAGAATTTATCTAAAACTTTAGACTATCAGCTTCACAAACAAAACTCTCCCTCTGCTGATCAACGCTGAAAATTTTTATTTAAAAGAAACAAAGAAAGGAATCATGTTAATGGCGAAGAATGGTTCTCTGAACGAGATGAAATTCATGACAATTGTGAGTTCAAACAGCAAAATGATTTGAGAATTTGAGAACCTTTTTCAGACTGTGAATTCCTCATCACTGTCCCGGCTTGGTGATTGGAAAGCAAGGAAGGTGAAAACTTCAAATGTTACACCTTAAAGATATTGTCATATATTGTCCAACCGGGCCTTAGGGCAGTCCAGAAAGTCTTTTCGTTTCTTTTCGTACTTCCGTTTAAAACCAACAAATGCACTGATTGAACCACGATCTGTTTCATTAGAAAGGCCAATTAGCTTTCTGCATAGTAACATTAAAACGGGTTTAAAATGTCTTATGTCTGGATTTTTTCTGGGAGCGTGGAGTCGGATAGTCAAAAAGGGCGACGGCTAGATGATCCGGTTTAGACACTTTACCTAAGGAAACCTATCTTCGTGTCAATAGATAAAAGAAAGAGCACAAAAAGCTTCGTATATAGTCAAATTTTCAGAGAAATTGATTTAGCCAATTTCTTCGTAAAGGTTTTTATAGGTTTTTTTATAGCAAAACACTTGCTTTCACTCTTGAATTTGCTTTAAAGTGAACTGAAGTTGACTTAAAAAGATGACAATTGGAACAATAAACACTCTTTATTTAGAGGAAACCATAGGTTAATTGGTGAATTTGTTATTTTCCAACGAAAGTACGAAAAGGAACGAAAAGACTTTCTGAACAGACAGGTCAAGCCAGAACCAGACCCTGGCCGGGCTTTGAGCGGACCCAGTTTTTATACTTTGCGAGTTAGGCCTGACCAGAAGCCAGGTGCTGGTCTAACCCTCACCAATCTGATCTCTAAGGTATGCCTTGGCGTCTGAAGGCTATCTAGATTGACTGACTTAACATAATCTCCAAATCGAAATCAAATCAAACTCCAGCAACCGGAGAATGATTGCGAGTTCATCGAGACGAAAAATAAAGAAAACTGCTCAATTTTCCATTCGTCTTCTCGGAAATCGGATCGAAAAGTCGGGGCTTTTCTCGGGGACAAAGCATTTTCAGAAGGTATGCTAACGGGTTTGTATCAGCGTAAAAATTTTCAATTTTTAGCTGAGCACTTATATTTGTTTAAATGTGAAAACGACTGTGAAACGAGAACGAAAAACTCTTCAACAACAAAACCCAATCACGTTTTGTTCAAGTGGAATTCCGATGGATCAAAGTTGATCCCATTTGGATCGTTGCAGAAATTCTTGGACACGAAAAAGCTTCCATTTTGGGTGAGGGATTGGGATTGATGTTCGATTTTAATGTATTTTATGCTCGAAAATAGAAACACACCCTTTCTGGCACACTCAAGTCAAGCTGAGTTGGCTAAAAAAGCAAGAGTGTGCCAGAAAGGGTTTATTTCTATTTTTAAGCCCAAAATAGACCTTAAAGAAGAATTATTTCACTTTGTGATGATATTCAGGATGCCCTAGTTGACATTTACGGAAAAGGTTTGCTTCTTTTGGGTGAAGCGGGCAAAATGGAGCTCTGCGCGGTGAAGTTGAGCACAAAAAGGGAAACCGCTGAATTTCTGGCCGAGAGTTGTTCCAAAATTGGAAAGGTAAGCTTAGCTTCCCTGCTTCATCAGTGAAAAAAGTCATCTATCATCTACAGGGTGGCCTATAGGTACACATAAAAAGCTTTGTAGGTAAAGCAAATTAAACTTTAGAGAGCAAACTTTTGTTTTAAAATCTTATTTGATATCAATGAACAACAACTTAACAAATTAAATTCAAAGCGATCACCATTTTTAACCGAGCAGGCTTTCAAGCGTTTAGGAAAGGCGTCCAAGTAAGCATCATTGAGTTTATCCGAGGCTTTTAGAAGGCTTTTCTTCAAACTTTTAACATTTTTATGCGGTTTTGAGGAGGTTTTTGTCTCAAGTACGTATCAGACAGAATAATCCATCGGATTGAGATCCGGCGAGCTGAATTCAGAAATGACCATTCAGAAAAATGACCATTCAGAAAAAGAGAAGAAATCGGGAAAAGAAATTCACTTTGCAAAAATCTTGAACCTTCCAAGGCTTTGTGGGCCGGAGCCCCGCCTTTGTAATGTCTAAATTTGATCTTTCAAATGCTTTTATACCCAGTGCAAAATTTCAGCTTTGAGGAAATCGAGATAGTTAATAATAGATAAGCCACTGCACTTAAAATTATGGGTCACCTTGTAATATAGCGATTTTCAGCTTCCCTGCTCCACAAAACAATGCAATTATACGATGAGACGATGGGCTGCTTCCTACTATCTTTTCATCTCCGAACCAACAGATCCGAAAGAGCCGTAAGTCATCAAAAATCTAGGCATACGGTAATCCTATTCAAATACCGTAATCCCACCACGCAAAGCTGTTAGAAAGCCACCGTAACCCTGTTGTCTTTTCAAGTTTCAACTAGAAAATGAGCCTAAAATTTGGCTACTTTTCGTTCAACAGTTACCATACAATAAAGTCAAATTTTCACGATACATTCAGCATCTACGTCTCCTATTACAACAAAGCCCAGGAAAAATTGCACGATCAGCGAATCGAGACCGTTTTACCCGTCAAAGATCGTTTGTATTTGAAAAGAGATCACGAGCCATTCATGATTTGTTATATCGAGGAAAAGAAGAGTCTTTTGTGTAGAGTCTATCAGCATTTTGTTGAGTTTCCCTTATAGCTTTTTGCGCTCACCATTCATTGAAATATTTGCACAAAATAATAAACACGTCTTTAAAATTTAAAAACTCGCGTCCGACCTGTTCGGTTCCATAAGCTAGCTAAGAAAACGAAAAAACAGCAAAAATCATTAAAATTTATAAGCTTTGCAAAAAATTTACCTTCTCGGGAGCAATTTGATTTTCAAGTTGACGGATTCGAGCAAGCAAATCTTGTCGGCCGAGGGCTAAGCCTCGCCCCTTGCTTGCCGATGTCACAGACAGACAGACAGACAGACAGACATACAGACGGACGGACAGACGGACAAACAGACAGACAGACGTCTCTTCTACTTTATATATAACAGCTTCGCAATTCTAGTGTGCGTTTCGTTTTGTTACTTGAATATCTTGAAGCCAGAGAAATTTCAAGGCAATAATCAACAAAATTAATAGCCAGTACAGTGCCTGTCATGCAACTGGACCAATCTTCAACAGATTAAAAAAACTGATTACTTTTATTGTCCAATGCTAAATTACACTGTACACAGCTATTCCAATAAAGACTAACAAAATCTCATTCTAACAGCCACTTTTTTCTGACTAAAGTCAACAAGATCGGTAAGAGTCGATTCTTATCGATTCCCCATCCCCTTTTGACTAAAATTTTATCACTTTGCCCTCACTTTCCCCCTTTTGTGAAAATATTTTCCCACTTTTTTGAAGCTAATATTTAGAAGAAATTTTCTGGTCAAAAATACGTCAACAAAGTTTTGCTTCTTTATTGAGAAATTGATTTCTTTAATTAGTGACATCAAAATTTTCATTATTTTCAACAATAAGACGGTCATCTGTTCAAGAATAATTACTCTGATGTCATGGTCAGATCAAGTAAGACTTTTGGTTTGGTACTTTTTTGTTGTAACTCGTAAACAGCAGTTTTAAGAAGCCAATAAGGTTCGAGCTAAGGTCAGTACCAGGGTTGTTCTCAAAATTTGGCAGGACGAGTCAAGTCAGGGAAAATCTCTGCCCGAGGCCAGGGTCAGACCTGGACAGGCTTTTGGGCTGGTCTAGGCTAGGAAGTATCTGAACCTGACATCCTCACCGGATACTTTCAGGCTGACCGCTCTGTGAATTGAATAAACGGATTGTGAAATTTTGAATTAACGGAATTAATTCTGTGAGATAATGTTTTCAGTAAACCTCTCTCCATCAACCGTTTACTCGCTTGTCTCCGAAAATGCATCCGCAAATGTTTACCTGATGCCCGATCGGAGTTTACCGCAAAGCGCACCGTTAAGTGGAACGAAATACGCATTCGAACAAGTGAGCTAGAAATTTTGCGTAGCTTTGTTTGAATTGTAAGAAAAATGCTTTCTGCTTAAAAACTGTAATCATTAGAAAACATTCAGGATCTCGAAAGCGCGCAAACCCTTATAACGAGCGTCGACATTTGGCGGCAAAGGAATTTTGGTGCAAAAAAATTCTATTTGATTCCCGATCCGGATCTCCTTGGATACGACGCAACTGTGCTCAGTATTCGAAAGTTATTTCTTCATTCATTGATGCGCTCATCACAAATTCAGTTTTCTGAACGACATCACTCTCGATGGATTGATTGATATGTTGGAGTCAGTGCGTAAAGGAAAAGCCACCGCTGATACACCGTTGACGTATGTGGCTCCACCAATGGAACACATCTCATCAGCTCATCCAGTGCCTAGAGTAAGTGATAGAAGAAATGAGGTTGACATTGCAGCTTTCTAAAATATGCATTTTGGAAAAAGCTGCCGTAGCTTGAGTTGAGATTTGGAATGTATTTTGTGAGTAAATACAAACAAATCTTCTCAACTCTTTATTTCCTCCCTACACCAGGGAAGATGTGTTTGAGCTTTTGAGCACAAAGTAGGGCTTTTATTAATGAATTTTTAGGTTACAACAGAAACGTTTATCAATCAACTCGATCGCCCATTTCGCATGTGGTTGAATGGTGAAATTGATGAGGGGCAATTGAGGGGATTCTATCACGAGAACGTCCCAGAACCGGGTTCTTTACCTGTTCGTTATATTTGTTTGGCCGGAAACTTTTGTCCGCATTTTTGAAAGTTTTATTTATAAATGAATAATTAGCCGATAAACGTGTGGTTTGCTTTAAATTGCTTTAAATAAAGATTAACTATTTCATTTAGCTGATTTTTAAGCAAATTTGAGTCCGTTTTAAAGCAAATCCGAACAGAAATTCGTTATTTCCAAAATCCTTACAATGGATATAGGATGAAAACGGTGGGACGACTTTTTCTGAAAATTTGTCTTTTTGCCTAACTTTTCATTCTCTATCTTTTGTCTTTTGACACCAAAATTAAATTTCTGTGACAAAAAGTGCTCAAATCGAAACTCTTGATTTTCATCGTTTTCACAGCTTTAAAAAATATTAACTAACGCGAGCTTTTAAGAATTTCTTAAAGGGAAACTTGTAAATAAATATTAGAAATTTCTGATAAAAGAAAACCCATAGATCGATTGATTCATTATTCATTTCAAAAAGTAACCTTTAAAAAAACGGACAAGACTTTCGGGCAAACTTGATACAAACTATTCAGGGTTTAACTGTTCTTAAGATATCTGTATTGATTGTAAGTAGGCAAATTCGTATGTAAATTTAGAAAGTTGATAAGCTTTTTTTTAGACACCCCCTCGTTCCTCCCATTGGACACTCTATTCACTGCTTTTACTGCTGTTGTTCACTGGTTTATCTATAGGATTGCTTTACGGATGTCGTAATAGTGGTTGTCTTGCGATCTTTCAACCAAAAGAGGTACAACTTTGCCTCAAACTTGAAGCGATATGGCCCTTAGTATTCATCTAAAACTTTAGACTATCAGCTGCACAAACAAAACTCTCCCTCTGCCGGTCAACGCTGACAATTTCTATTTAAAAGAAACAACGGAAGGAATTATGTTAATGGCAACGAATGGTTCTCTAAACGAGATGAAATTCAGGACAATTGTGAGTTCAAACAGCAAAATGATTTGAGAATTTGAGAACGTTTTTCAGGCTGTGAATTCCTCATTACCGTCACTGTTTGGTAATTGGGAAGCAAGCAAGGTGAGAACTTTAAATGTTGCACCTTAAAGATATTCTCAAATATCACTTCAATATCCTTTTTTCGTTACAGTATGCCGGTATTCTGATCTCCAAACTGAATAACTTTAGTTTTATTTAGGGTTGGAACAACCCGGTTTTAAGGCTTTTAAGTTAAGCCAGGTGGAGCCAGAACCTGACCGGGCTTCAAGCGAACCCAGTTTTTATAGTTTTTGTGATTTAGGCCAGGTGCTGGTCTGACCCTCACCAATCTGATCTCTAAGGTATGACTTGGGGTCTGAAGGCTATCTAGATTGACTGACTTAACATAATCACCAAATCGAAATGAAATCAAACTTCAGCAACCGGAGAACGATTGCGAGTTCATCGAGACGAAAAATAAAGAAAACTGCCCAATTTTCCATTCGTCTTCTGGGAAATCGGATCGAAAAGTCGGGGCTTTTCTCGGGGATAAAGCATTTTCGGAAGGTATGCTAACGGATTTGTATCAACGTAATTTTTAGCTGAGTACTTATATCTGTTTAAATGTGAAAACGATTGTGAAACGAGAACGAAAAACTCTTCAACAACAAGACCCAATCACGTTTTGTTCAAGTGGAATTCCGATGGATCAAAGTTGATCCCGTTTGGATCGTTGCAGAAATTCTTGGACAAGAAAAAGCTTCCATTTTGGGTGAGGGATTGGGATTGATGTTTGACTTTAATGTATTTCATGCTCGAAAATAGAAACACACCCTTTCTGGCACACCCAAGTCAAGCTGTGTTGGCTAAAAAAGAAGAGTGTGCCAGAAAGGATTTATTTCCATTTTTAAGCACAAAATAGACTTTAAAATAGAATTCTTTCACTTTGTGATGATATTCAGGATGCCGGAGTTGACATTTACGGAAATGGTGTGCTTCTTTTGGGTGAAGCGGGCAAAATGGAGCTCTGCGCGGTGAAGTTGAGCACAAAAAGGGAACCCGCTGAATTTGTGGCCGAGAGTTGTTCCAAAGTTGGAAAGGTGGGTATTTGGGGAAAGTGGAGAGTAAGGCATAAAGCCCTACCCTGGTGGCAATGGGACACGTGCCCGTGTAGCTCATTGGTAGAGCGTTCGCCCGGTAAACGAGAGATCGCGGATTCGAATCCCGGCGCAATGTTTTGTATTCCCAGCCCCAGCCCCAAAAAGGACCGGCGAGTCCAACTTTAGCTTCCCTGCTGCTCAGTGAAAAAAGTTATCTAATATAGTGATTTTCAGCTTCCCTGCTCCACAAAACAATGCACTTATACGATGAGACGATGGGCTGCTTCCTACTATCTTTTCATCTCCGAACCGACAGATCCGAAAGAGCCGTAAGTCATCAAAATTTAGGCATACGGTAATTCTATTCAAATACCGTAATCCTACCAGGCAAAGCTGTTAAAAAGCCACCATAACCCTGTTGCCTTTTCAAGTTTCAACTAGAAAATGAGCCTAAAATTTGGCTATTTTTCGTTCAACAGTTACCGTAACATAAAGTCAAACTATCCGATGAATTTTCAGCGTCTACGTTTCCTATTACAACAAAGCCCAGGAAAAAGTGCACGATCAGCAAATCGAGGCCGTTTTACCCGTCAAAGATCGTTTGTATCTGAAAAGAGATCACGAGCCATTCATGATTTGTTATATCGAGGAAAAGAAGAGTCTTTTATGTAAAGTCTATGAGGATTTTTCCGAGTTTCCCTTATAGTTTTTGCGCTCACCATTGATTGAAATATTTGCACAAAATAATAAACACGTCTTTAAAAGTTAAAAACTCGCGTCCGACCTCTTCGGTTCCATAAGCTAGCTAAGAAAACGAAGTACAACAGCAAAAATCATTAAAGTTTATAAGCTTTGCAAAAAATTTACCTTCTCGCGAGCAATTTGATTTTCAAGTTGACGGATTTGAGCAAGCAAATCTTGTCGGTCGAGGGCTAAGCCTCGCCCCTTGCTTGCCGATGGCACTAGACTTGTGTTTCGGTTGACTCTTCAACGGAAAAGATGAGTGTTTCGGCTCGGTTCGGTTCGGTTTCGGCTGACTCAAATTTTTAGCGATTGTAATTTGAAAAGCTAATTAATTTCTTAATAAATTTATCAACAAAAAGGCAACAATATAAACATAACAAACGTATATAACAGTATATCTATTCAGAATTATCTTCCGAATCAATTGCAAACCATTAATTTTCGCTTTCGTCCTCGGCGCATTCATTTCAAGATAGATCTGCATAGCGGAAATAAGCAGTTCTCCAACCGTAACGTGCTTCTTTACTTGATGACCATGTGTTTCGCCTAAATCCAATAGCATTTAGTCAAATTTAGAAAAAAATGTGATACCTCACATGATCCTGGTTACATGAAATATTGAGAAGTTTAATAGCCGTATCTTCAGAAATCCGTTGACGACGAGGATTATTTAGATAAACACCGGGAATACTAAAATATAATAAATAAAAATTAAACAAGTAAAATTTACGAAAACACCCTTTCAGAGCTGACACTTGTAGCAGGCGCCGTCAGGAGTTCTTGTGCTATCCGATATAAGAGTTCCATTTGATGATTTCTCCACCATTCGTAAATGTTCGCGTTTGGGGGTGGTCGGGTCGTGTCGATTGATTCAAGAAAACGAGTCAATTCTTGCTTAAACAATTCTATAAATACATAAAAATTTGAAAACTACCTGTAATTGGTTTGTTTTCTTTCGTTTTACAGTCGGACCTTTGAAGAACATGGAGAAATCATCAGTTTTAATAACATCTTTTGTAGCCAATTCTTGTGTAATATTTTCGTGAAGATTCGTTGAGCATAATGAATCTAAAAAAAGAAAAATGCACTAGTTTAATTAGTAAATATCTACCATATTTTTGGACAAAGTCCGTTTCAATATCATTCTATTCAGTATCATCGTAGAATGAACAGCCATTGAATCGGGGGTCAATAAATACAGCATACTGAAGAAAACGCATTTTGTAAATGTCAGTGAAGTGCTTATCCCTTCAGTAAAATCTTCCAAAACTTTTGATAAAGCTTCTTCATTTGCCAAAAACCTAAACTCATAGATTACACGTAAAAAGTACATTTTCGTTTGGAATTGCAATTTTTTCAGAGTCGGGATAATCATCGCAATGTGAGCATCCTCATAAGACAACTAAATCAGTAAATTTTAATTACTGTTAGCAAGTTTACTTGTCTAGAAGCCTTGTCAAATGGTGTAAGGATAGCACAAATTTTAACGATGAGCACAAAGTCCTCGTTTGATAGAATCTCTTCCTTTTGTGAAAGCCAAAACTGAGTAAAGGCAGCCCTCTAAAAACGATTCAAATTATAAGTTACTTTAAACGCACCAATGCTATGCAATCAGACAACATGTAATAAAGGGAATTCCATCGTGTTATGCATTCTGAACGAGGAACTAATGGTTTTGATCCAAACTGTGTGCAATAACTAAACTTGACTTATAGACAAAGAAAAAACCACAAGCCTGATAAACATTTTTCGATAAAAGTTATGCCGATGAAATAAATTAATCGTTTCTTTAAATTTACTGAGAATCGGCTTGAGTGAAGCAATCTCATAGATTTTTTGCACTACCAGATTGAGTTTATGGCTTGTACAATACACCCTGAAACAATATTACAAATAAGAAATTTAATTGAAAAACCATTGGTGTCCTCCGTCTCGAATCGCTTTCCGCACATTAGCGGCCCCATCGAAGACTACAGCAACTATTTTATTAGCAAGATTGTAGTGTTGAAGAGTTGATGAGAGATCTATCAAAAGATTGTCCGAAGTATGTCTAGAATAAAAGATAAATGCAATAAATATGATAGGTATTGCCTGTCATAAAGAGCATTTGTCTTCAAAAGCAACGACTTTTTAACTCCCGTTTTGTCAAAGTAATGAGCTAAACGTAATGATAAAAGTAAATATTCAGAGAAATCATATCTGTATATGCAGAAAGCTGCATCGTGAAGTTTTTGGACGACCAAATATCAGTAGTCAACGCGATTTTGTCGGCTTCTTGCAGTGTCTCCTTTTTCTAGTACAACAAATTAGGATAGCAGTTGGGTAAAAAACTTAAAAAAACTGCTTCAACATTCAGTAGATCAATCGATTCCATTAATCTTTTGCTTGTCAAAACATATCCCGGTTGTGTGATTTCCAAAGCTCAGCGAAAACTCGGAGAATCTATTAGGTTGAGGAAAAAGTAATGTCGGTTTTTGTCACAAAGTTGTTTATTGCTAAAAACATAGACAAACGCAGATCAATCAATGAGATATTCTCCATTATTATTGATGACTTGTTCCCATCTTCCCTGATCGGATCCTCAAAAAAAAGAATGGGGAGTTTTCGAGCCAAACTCCAAACAAAGCCAAAGCGGTACTCTAAACCTTTTGTATTTCACCAACAGCAAAGCCTAAGTTTCTTTCCATGAATACCGGGTTTTGAAGTTTGTTGTGGGGGTTGACCAAGAGGAAGCCACTGATTTTTGCGCTTCACATTCTCATATTGAATCCATGTTTCATCAGATGTTAGAATTCTTTCCCAAAAATCATGAGATTTGCCTTTTTGAAGCAGAGTAGAGCTAACGATAACACGAGTTGTTTTGTTGCCTTGAGTCAGTTCATGAGGAATCCATATTCCGCAGTGAATTGTTTTTCCTAATTGATATATAAGTGGTTGTCGATTGTTTTTTGGTTCATCCCAAATGTGTCCGCTAACTCACAAGTGGTAATGGTTGGATTGAGTTCAATGGCATCAAGCAAATTCTCATCTGAAATCTCCTGGGGTCGTCCAGACCGTTCCTCGTCTTGGAGACTTTCATTTCCATCTTTGAACCGCTGAAACCATCTTTGGCATTGTCTTTCGCTAATGCTGTCTACCCCCAAAAATTCAATGATTCTCCGATGCGATTCAGCCGCGGATTTCCCTTGTTTAAAATCATACCACAAAGTCGAAACTTTTCGTCTTGCATGTTGTACCTGAAAATATTGTTAAATTTGTAAAAATTTGTAAAAGTTAAATATAATATGAAATTATAGAATGTCTAGCTGATATCTATTTGAAAAAATCGCATAAGCAAAGAACTGAAGAATTGCCAACAACGGGAATTCAAAACCGACATTACTTTTTCCTCAACCTAATATCTAAGATATATTGAATATATGTTATATCCGATTTAGACTCAACAATAGTTTTAACAATTGCTGCGTTGGCACATGTTTTTTGACACCAAAAACAAGATCAAAAGCAATAGCTGCACCAAAATCCCGTAACTTTTGTCGAATTTAACCATTTTAAAGTAAAAATATAATAAGTTTTAGTTTTATCATTGAATCATTGATCATTGATATCATTGATGTCCGTTTCACAACACTCTATCCTTTGCTTTGTCATTTGTTATACATTTTAGTAATCGTTAATTTTTGATTGATTCAACGAAAATTCCCGCACTCAGAAGCGGGTATCCGATTTATATTGAATCTAAATCGGATATAACATATAGGGTTATCCATAAGTTTTTCCGGTTTTAAAATCTCTGATTTCTTCAAGCATTAAATAAATCAAACTAACCACAGGAAAAGCCACGTTGTTGGCTGAAAAGACTAAGGCCCATGTCTTGTCAAGACTCGCAATTCTTGAAGACGACAATACTGCCTTTGGCTCAAAAAACGTTTTTATTGCCACCTCTTTGTTAGAAGTGAGCTAAAAAACAGCTATGTTAATAACACTAGTCAACAACATACTAATGTTCCCAATTTATTTGCATGATATCTCTCCAAGTGTCTCTTTGGATTGCTGGTCGACGATTGATATTTGTACGTCGTTTCGCAGTAGTTACATCTTTCCATTTCGCCTTCTCGGGTGAAATGACGCCAATACTCGGATTGCGTCCCATTTTCTAAAAAAAGATGCTGGATTACGTAAGTTTGAACAGTTTATACCTATGGCAAAACAAATGAAAGTAAACAAACAAAATGGTGCAAGCAAAGACAGACAAAGTGCAGGATGTTCTTTTGAAAAACAATTGCTCAATTACAAAAAAAATCGAGGAAATATAAAATAAACTTTGTTGCAAAATGCTTTTTATATATTTACTGTCAAGTTATTCAGCCTAACCAACTGAATATTCGGTGCAAAAATAAAAAAAAGAGAGTTTGGCGTAATTCGCATAAATTGCGTTTTGCATTGGTTCACTTTATCGCACGTTATCGAATTTCGGTTCGGTTCGGTTTGGTTGAACCCAAAAAGATTAGTTTTTCGGTTTGTTTCGGTTTCGGTTCAACCGAAAAGATGATTTTTTCGGTTCGGTTCGGTTAACCGAAACCGAAACCGAAACCGAACGTTTTCGGTTCAACCGAAACACAAGTCTAACCTACATGATGCCACACTTGAAAGGAGAAGCCGCGAAAGCAGTGAATGGCTTCGACCTGACGAAAGAGAACTACAAGCTTGTGCGAGAGAGGTTGAAAGCCCGATTTGGGGATGAAACGATGCTGAAGAATGCTCTCCTCCAAAAGATTTTGAGAAGATCTGCAGAAATCGGGAGAGGGCTACAGAGAAACGGTTGCGTTTGTCGACGAGATGGAAGCACTGGTGCAGCAAGCGGATAACCTCCAAATGACCGGAGAATCCGAGGCAATTCGTTTGGCGGTGGAGAAATCACTGCCGAAATGGCTCGAGGCTCAAGTTTTTGCGAAAAAGATAGACCACCCGAAGTGGGATCTCGATTCTGAAGTACCCAGCAGAATTTCGCTACATTCCGACACACAGGAACCCCGCGGATGTCTCATCCAGGGGATGCACACCCGAAGAACTGGCCGAAGACGTACAATGGTGGCACGGGCCAAGTTTCTTAAAGCTCAAGAGAGAGCAGTGGCCACAGTTTGAGCTTCCACCACTCGAGAATGCGCCATGTGCGGAAATGGCGGAAACGGTAGCAGTGAGCAAGAGTCAGCCACCGTACGAGTCAAGCGTGGATCCGGCGAGTGTGTCCTCATTGATGGAATTGACACAAAGACTCGGCGAAACGGCCAAAAATGCGAGTGATACAGTTGGAGAGGTGATGCGAAAGGGTGAAATCGAAGCGTTTTGGGAAGCACCAAAGAGAAATCCACCCTCCAGCTGCAAGTGCCGATCGCTCGCTCTGTTCAAAGACGAGGCTGGTCTTTGGAGGGTAAAGTCACGAACAGTGAATCGTGAGATCAATGGCGAAGCGGAGCATCCAATTTTCATGTCAGGCGACGACCCAGCTGCAAGGCTATACGCTCAACACATTCATGTTCGTTTGCAGTGCGCCGGAGGGGCTACAATTTTGGCGGAGATCCGAAAGAACGTCTGGATCCCCAAGGGCGGATCAGTAGTCAAAGGCGTGATCAAGGGCTGTGATGTGTGCAAACGATTTCGTGTGACGCCATTCAAGTTACCGAACTTGCCACAACTCCCTAAGGAAAGGTTGCTTGCGATGACACCTTTCGAGAGCACGGGTTGCGACTTGGCGGGGTCGTTTCGCACCAAGAACGAAACGGCAGAAGTCGGGAAAGTTTGGATTTGTCTCTTCAATTGCCTGACCACAAGAGCAGTGCATTTTGAATTGTTTCTCGTTGAGCGCTGAGGAGCTTGTACGTGGAATCAGAAGATTCATTGCAAGAAGAGGCTGCCCTAGATTTTTTATGAGCGACAAATTTTCGGGCGACAGGCCCATTCATTGAATCGTGGACACCCGAATCCATAAAATTGCGTTTTGCATTGGTTCACTTTATCGCACGTTATCGAATTCCGGTTCGGTTCAGTTCGGTTAAAACAAAAAGATTAGTTTTTCGGTTCAACCGAAAAGATGATTTTTTCGGTTCGGTTAACCGAAACCGAAACCGAACCGAAAAAGAACGTTTCCGGTTCAACCGAAA